CCACTGGTCGAAGAAAATTGGTTTTAAATTTTAAAAACTCAAATTAAATTTTTTTTTAAATTAAAAATTTTAGTTATACCAGCTACCACCGAAAGAGCCACCTATTGATTATAATGATTCGTCTTTTTGTATTCAACCGGGACGTTCATCCGGCTCCATGCATCGAGTTACTTCAACAATTAACTCTCCTGTCCGTGTCAAGTCTTCATTCTTTCGTACTCCCGATAATTTCATTTCCTTAAAGCGAAATGAAGTTGCGCCTAATGATTATGCATCTAGATTTTTCGAATCAGACCATGTTATCTCTAAATTCAGGTTTTTATCGAATTCATTCTTGAAATTTAAATTCTGAATCATTAAGAATTGTTGAAGTATATCTTATATTTAGTCAGGTTTTACTGTTTTATTTTGTGTTTCAAATCATAGTTGAATGTAATCGAATCACTGTTGATACGTATTTAGCTCGTGTTGGTCGCCCTCAGTGATTTCTGTATTTTGATTTCTAATTTTACTTAATTCTAATTTATAAAATATTTTAATTATTACGTTTATTACTTTTATTGCAGAAGCCAATCTGATGATGATAATGATGAAACTTGTGAACCTATATTTCGGCGTACGCATCGTGGTAGCTTTTATGATAATGTACCGTCATCCACACCAAACAGTTGCAATTCCAGTGATTTATCGCAGATAAAATTGACCAATGATCAAGGACGTATCAATGGTGATAACATTTTTAAGGCTCACGATGGAAATAGTTCACTTGATAGACGATATAAATACAGTCCAAACAATTCAGTATTGGAGGAAAGTAAGCAAGAGCAACGGATTAATGAAGTGAGACTACTTTCTTAGTATGATGAAGTTAGGCACTTAACATTAGGGTCATAGTTTCATTTTATTATCGAACTGGGAATTTCGTAGTTAATGTTGAAATGGAAATCATAAAATTAACTCGAATTGAACATTCATTATAGCACATTTAATCTTAATACATATTCATTAGCCTAATAATTTGAAACAACTCGAATTTAGTTTTCTTTTTTTGTAAGGATTGATTGTTACAATGCTTTTTTCATGTTAATCTCAAGTTTATATATCTGCAGATTGCATGAGTGACTTGACTTGAAATAATCACGAGGGATGACTTGAAATTGGTCATTTTATTTTCGAAATCTTTTCTAGATCGAAACACGAGTACTTCAATTACCAAATAATGTTACTTGTGTGAGAGTTGGCGATACTATTGATAGCTCGTCATCATCACTTCCACAGCGGCGGTATTATAGTGTTCCAGTGAGGTATATCATTATTTATATTTACATTGTAATTATATGATTTTATATTTTGAAAAACAATTCCTGTAAATAATAAACAACAGATGTATTAATGATATTTAAGATCAAAAAATGTTATCCAAATAGAAGTATTTGTAGTAGCTATGTTGTTAGCTATTTGAAATTATTCGAAAAAGTAATTTTGCAATTTAAAATAGGTCTACATTATTCTAGCTGGATATGTCATAATATCTTTACTCATAATGGTATGAAGAGATGACATTCTGATTATTGCTGTCTTGATATCATTAAATAAAGAAAATAGAAAAGGAAAAGAGGATAGGAGAAAGACGTATAAATATGTATAACACTGCACAATTTAGAAGATAATAAGATATTTTTTTTTCTTTAATTCTTTACTTATGACTTGGAAAAAAAATCATGAAAAAGTTAGCTAATTTTAATATTGCAGTTACTGACGCTAAAAGATGAATGTTCTTCATTTTTCATATTTTAACAGTAGAAATTTTTGATCTTTGATCGTTTTTTTTTCTTATATACATATATCATTTTTTTTTTCTTTTATGTACCAATGATATATGTATATTTTAATTGTAGAAGAGAAATGTATGATACTCAGACAACAACCGGTCATCATAATTATGATAGTAATACCAGGGATTTACAATTTTATCACCATCGGCATTATCCATCGGACGCAATGAGTAGTGGATATTTGCGACACGATCAACAAGCGCATTTTCCAGCGAAATCCAGTCAGCTGGAAGCTGTTCATTATGATCGTAATGCTTATATCACTAATGACAGGCAGTCATCAGAACGACATTCTCTGCGTGTTCGACCTAATCGATATCAGTACTATGCTGATAAAGATTAATCTATTTTTCTTTTTTTCTGAAATGCATTAATATATTGTAAATAATAAAAATACTTCTACTGTGAAGTGAATTACAGAAGCATAGCATAATTTGTTTTGTTAGATATACTATAAATTTTCAAAGATTAAAACGTGTAAATGATTTTCTCGAACTTCAGATGACCAAATTTAATAGAATATTTGTTAGTTGTGGTTTAAATTACTTCTCACTCGGTGTTATTTCATAATTACCATGTAATTACATCTGCTTTTATTTGAATTCACTTTAGGTGCATTCATATATATTTTTCATCATTTCCTATCATTTAAATTAGCATTAGTAAATTGTCGTGTAACATATTTTTATATTTATTTTCATCATCTGATCTACAAGTTTATGCATATTTCATAAAAAGTTTGGTACTTTCATTGCACTTTCACTTTCATAAATAGCTATTTTTATTTCGTTTCATCATTTAATTTCACTGTCGTTAGTGTGCTTCTCTTACCTGTTATGGATACGAATGAAAATTATTTTCTATTTTTCTATGTTAGTGTTTCATATTCATTCCCCTTTAGTCACAGCAGTTTTAAGCCATACCACGAGTATGCCTTTCTAAGAAATGCTGAATTATCTGGAGAAAATCTGTCTCAAAAATTATGACGGTCATTTACATATTTATACTCGTGGTATCTTAATACGATATATTATTTAAGTTGGATTAATACTTTTTTCCTTTTTATTCAACATTAATTTGTGAATTACTTTGAATTGCAAATTATTTTTTTATGCGATCATTTTTTTTTTTTAAACTGTAAATTATCTTGTTCAATTCAATATGTCCATTTATTGACAATGTATCTTCTTTTGTTAATACGATTGTATTAATTCTATCTTAATACGATATTAATTTATTGGATATTCTATCCTAAAAAAAATATATATTAAAAAATGCTTTAGTTTCATTAATAGTTTAGCACTACACGGGATTATCAGTGGTTAAATGGCAAACGGTCTTTGTTTTATTTCTTATTTTCATTTTTTGTCAAATTGGAATTCAATGAATCCTGTGCAGTTAAATGGTGAGAAATTGTTCCGCTAATTTTTGACTATAAATTGTTTATACAATTTAGTGATAGCTGTGATGCAGTAAAACATGGTACCATTTCTCATTCGTAATTTAACCACTACCAAATTTGTAAATTTTCAACAAAAATATTATAATGTGGAGTGGATCTTAATTTTTTTTTCAGAGCATTATTTTTGCTGTTTAGTGAGTGTAAACCAAATATGAGTGATGTAAATGTTATTATCCTTGTAATTTTAATGCAAGCCATACTAAAAAAAAATTGTAATTTCAAATATTAATTAGTCTGACTAATCAAAGTTGATACATTTTGAGGATATTGAAATTAGTTTCAATTTCGTTATATAGTTTTAGATGTTGTTCTGTAATAAATTATTAATTACTGTGCTGCCCTAAGCTCTAACTACTATATTTGTTGATTTGATGATACAAAAATAAGTGTAATTTCATGTATACGAACATAAAAAAGAATGGGAACTGTATGTTTCTAAGTATGAATTGCAGCAGTGTCACATTTAAATCATTTTTGAAAAAAGAAAAAAATACAATTACAAATTTTAAAAAGAACACGAAATGTATTGTAGTCATATATATTTCAGCATGGAATATATCATATATTGTGTCAGATGACTTTTTTTTTTCTTTGTTAAAATTTAGAAAAATGTCATAAATTAAACTTCATCTAGAAAAATTGTAGCTATTTTGCTGATTATAAACCATGCTAAAATTTAATTTATCAATTTTTTTTTGACAAGAACAAAATGAAAAAAGCATGAGATGGAAAAGTTAAAAATTTGGATAGAAATATAATTTTTTTAAAAAAGTGGAACGTAATAGTTTTCGTTTGATTTTTATTAATGAAACCGAATCTTTTAGGTGGAAAAAAGGATTGAAGTTGAGAAGACAATTCATATTATAGAATTCTTTTTTTCCTTCCAAAAATAAAAGTAAAGAAATAGGAAAAATGAAATAAACAATATTTCAACTCAAAATAGTTATATTATTTAATTATGCGAAAATACTTTTTGTATTAAGCAAAAAAAAAAAAGAAAAAAGAAAAGAAAACAACCCGCAATAATCTTTTTCACTTGTAGTGAAATATTTTAAATATTGAAAAGATATTGAAATGAGTGATAATTTTAGAAATAAGATGAAATAAAATAGCCTTACTAGTAGATAGAAATAAATGGGATAATTACAGCAACCAAAAAATGAATCATTGTATGGTATGGAATTTTTATCAGTTAACACTGTTATCATATGGTTAAGGTGGTGACTAAGAAATCATTTCAAAATTTTTTCAGTGCTATAAGTTTACAAAAATGTGAGTCGTATTACAACATATGGAATAGGAATAATGATAATAAAAAGCAGCGATAATAACAATAAATTAATTACTTAATTTATTAATTAATTACTATTAAAGATAATTAAAGGCAGTGGTGGAAATGAGTTCAATATTTTAATGTCATTGGCGTTTTCATTCATCACTTGAATAACAATAACATATTATGTTTTTCTTTCCTTCTTTCTACCAGAAAAGAAAATGCAAATTTACAACTCTTTCAATAAAGTTACCAAATTAGGATTACAAATTTAATCATTAATTTAAAGGTTAAACCTAACTAGCTTTCATTATAACAAATAAGATAGTAACAACAATAATAATGATAATAATAATTAATAATAATAGTAATAATAATAATAAATAATAGTAATAGGGATAACAATAAAAATAATAGCGTGAAGAAACTTTCATGTTTTCGCTACACCCAAAATATCAATATTATCTGCGAATCGTGTATGTTTCAAACTCATTTGTCGTGGTGTACAGCTGCTTTTGAATGCATTATTTTCTGCAAAATAAAAAGTAAAAGATTAAAGTATGATTCAAAACAGGATTTTACAAATGAAGAATTAATACAAACATCGGTTACATATCTAAACGACTAGAAGATATGGTCAATTAAATATATATAGCAGTAATGAAATTTTAATTCATTAGCTAAATAATGTCAAAAAAAATAAAAAATATGATGATATTAAAAATATTTTTCATATAATATCAATATCGCAGGTGAATAAATTAATAATTAATAATTAGAGTCACATAATTGAGCATCAATTTTATAAGTTCAATAAATTCTTCAAAACAAAAAAGATAAGAGTAAATAAACTCTGAAAAAATTTTTAAAATAACCTATTAATAACTGAATGCAAATTAAATTGATGATATTATGAAAATGAAAATTATTAATGTTTGTCACATTTTACGAAGCAGAATTTGCTTGAATATGAAATGATTGTTCATTGTTATAGAAAATGATATAATTGATTATTGATATCAGTATAATGTAATACTTAATAAATAAAAGAAATTAATGATTTTAATCATCAATCAAAAGAGAATTTTTTTTTCTTTAAATTGCTCTCATTTCTATCATCTCTTTCTCGCGTTTTCTCTCTCTCTCCCTTTCTTTTGCCCCCTACCTTTTTTCTAAATATTTCCCTTCTGGAACAAATATTATATTTTACTGCAGAAAATAATAAATAGAAAATAAACAATTCAATTGGATTTATAATAGTGCTATGAATGAAGTAGAAAAAAGGAAGGCAAAAAGGAAATTTAAATTTTTAACATAATTCATTTATAATTAAAATCTAACCTTTTTGATTATCAAATTCATTTATTATTGGTGCTATTTCATCATTTTTAGCAATAGATTTTGCATTATTTGTTGCTATCATCGTTTCAGGAAATAATAATGCATTAGAAACAATTATTGATTGATCACTTCTGATCATTTCATCGTTTGCACAATTTACTTCAATAAATGAAATTGAAGTGCTAAAACGTGTTTTTTTACTATCTTTTCTCATTATTATTCCATTTTTACAGGTGAGTTCTTCGTTATCGATTTCATTCGCATCTTTTGCATCAATTTTAGCTTTTTTCTTGAACATTTCTGGTACTTTACCTTAAAAAAAACCGAAAAAAGCAAAAAAAAAAATTTTTTTTTAAATAAATAAAATTATGAATAAAAGTAAAAATTATACATTTGAAAACAAAACAAAATTAAACAAAAAAAAAATGAAAAAATTTGTTGCTTTTAGAAAATAGATTGAGTTTTTTAACCAGATCAACAAATTAAAAAATTGATTAAAATTAAAGAATAGATCAAAAAAAAATTTTTTTAAACTGAGATAAGAAAAAATTAAGATTAAATTTAATGAAAAATATTCTATCATTCTTTTCTTTTGCTATTTCGTTTTTCCTTCTCCTTCTTTTTTTATTTTTCAACTTTTAGTCACACAATTAAATGATCAGTCTTATCACTTTAAAATGAAACAAAAGAGACAGACAAATAGAAAATTATCAAAAATTTAAGCACATAATTCTCAGTTAATTGATTCATTATAATGTGCTGTGTTAAATTCGAAATTTATAGTTGTTCTATGCATAATTGTATTTTTCTTTTTCATTCAACCTGTTAATAAATTAATATTAAATTGAAAATATATGATTAGATTAGTGTAAAAATAAGAAATAACGAATCATAAAGTACTAGCAATGCTTACCTCGAGACTCTTTTGGACCACAAAAACAAACAGAAAGTAATAGTGCACATAATGCAAATGGCATCATAGCAATTGATAGTGGTATTAAAATCTATAAAAAAATTTTTTTTGTTATCCCTATGATTAAAATTAAATTTCGTTTCAAAAAAAGGAAAAAATGCAAAATTTAATCAAATCTTAAAAACCGGAAATTTTGAAATTTTAAACTATTTATTTTAGAATGAGTGGTGGTAATAATAATAATAATTAAAAAATGTTGGACCAGCTCAAGTTGAAACTTATGACAGCTACGTTGTTGAATTGTTGAACGACGTCTTGTTCGATTTGAATGATTCAATTCAAAGCTAATCATATTGTCATCAATTGAACTAAAAAAAAAAAAAAAAAAAAAAAAAAATTTAATATTATTGAGAAAAAAATAATTGCAACTTCTATTAATTATATGATTAATTTCTTGATTAGACACCTTTTCTTATTTGTTTCATCTTTATTATTATTATTATTATTATTATTATTATTATTATTATTATTATTATTACTACTACTATTATTATTATTATTATAAAAACCACAATTTCATCAATACTATTGTTATTATTTTTACCTATTAACATCATTATGAGTTAGTTTTATTCTTATACTATTTGCTGCTATTTTTTTATTATGAAATTTTACATAATTTGTTTTCCTAAGTTCCATAAAGATAATTAATGATTGTCATAAATTGAATTTAAATTGTTTTGTTGAAATGGACATGTAGTTAAAACATGTAGTATTTTATGATTTTGTAGAATTTTATTTAAAAAGAACCGGTTTACTACTACCACTCCTAGATAACAAATCTCTTTCCCTCCCTCTCTCCCTCTCCGTCTGCCCTTATACACATATATGTGAAAATGATATAATAACTTTTTCTTTTTAATAATGATTTATTGCATACACGATTATTTTCATTTTAATTAAAACGAATAAAAGAAAAGGTATATACTATTAAATTATCAAATAGTGATTAATAAAATAATATTTAATAAAATTACATTTTTATTTTCAAATCCTTTATAGTTTAACATGAAATGGTTAATTTAAAAAATAATAATAATAAAAGATTTATTATTTATAAATGACGAAGAAAATTTAATTAATAACTCTGATAATGTTATTATAAGCGAAATAACTTACCTAATGGTGTCATTACAACTGGAATCACAGTTATAGCATACAGGTGCTGCCATTGTGATATACATCGAAGGGATTAGCAAATTAATTATCAGTGCATTTGTTCCTATTATTAGCATTATAATGCTCATTTCAATCTATAAATATGAGCAATAATTAGACTTATCTTTTATTTTCATAGTTTATCATATTTGCATATTGTAGCTGAAATTAGTTTTGTTACTTTTTAACAAATGGCTTTACTTTTTTTTTAAAAAAAAATAATGAATAAATAAATATGAGCAATCCTTTTGGACAAATAATTAGTGAAACAATTAAGTATTAAATTTGATAAATGAAAAGAAGATTAGGCAATAGCAATGTAATATTATATAGCAATGTAATATTATATCGAAACAAAAATATAGCAATGTAATATTATATCGAAACAAAAATAACGCTGCTGAAAACATTTTAAAAGTTTCTATTGGAAAAAAATAAACTAAATTCAAAAAAAAAAAACTTGAAAGTAAAGTTGAAAAAAAAAATAAAAGAGAGAAAGAAGAAGATTTTGTGTGAAATGCATAAAACTAAATTGTATGTTATCACAGCACAAATATAACAGTTGTTATCAATTGTATGAATAATGTTTTTTTTTTTTTTAAATTTGATCCTTTTTTTTGAAGTTATAAATACAAATAATTAACTAAGTGTTCTGATGATGACAAAAATTAGGAAAGGAGAGAGAAAGAATAGAAAAGAAAGAAAAATAGAAAAGAATTTATTGAGAAATTTTGAATTATTTTGGCTAAAATGAATATTATTTGCAAATTTTCTAGCCTGCCATATGATTATTTTTCAATGAAAATAATTTTAGGCGAAATGATAACGAATAAATTGAAAATAAGCAAAGATAAGTGAATAAAATAACAAATAATTGAGTTCATTAATTGATTAAAATTGCAATGAATAATAATGAATTAGTTGCACATTATAGAAATATTGAGAATGTTGATGGATAGAAAAAATTTAAAAACAATTTGGGATTAATCAAAAATTCATTTTTACACAAATAATTTAAATGTTACCAAATTAAAAAAAAAAAATACTACAAAATGAAAAGCAGTAAGAAATAATTTTTTTAACATCAATATTATTCTTGAAATTATTTAACATATTGAATTTTATCTCAAAAAGTTCGGTAATTAAAAGGAAAACGGAAGAAATTCATTCTTTTCTCTTTCTATTAAATTATCTTAAATTTTTTTCTTTTCCTTTTTTGAATGTCTTTTGATTCTTAAAAAACTTTAAAACATTGAAAAACAATCAATTTAGTTTGCAAATATGAACGCATCAATTAAGTCTTTTGTAACACAAAAAAATGACCGATTTATCAAAAATGTTTGTTTTTTTATTCATGATAAATGATTTAAAACATTGTTTGGTGACTAGATTTTAAAAGTACAAAGTAAAAGGAAAAAATGGCCAAATATACTTTTCAGTTTTCTTTTTCTTTTTTCTATCTATTTGAAAAAAAGCAAAGCAACTTATTGGGAAAGTTTATTTTTTTTTTTTTTATTTCTGAATTAACTTTTTTATTTGCCCAATATGATTGCAAGTAATATTTTTGAAATAAAATGAATAAAGTTTTTCGAATGTTTGAATAAAGCCACTGTCATTTAACGCGTATATATTAGTAAGTAAATGTATGAAAACGAAGAAAAAAGGTATTAATTATTTAAGTTATCACTATTTAAAACATTATTTAGGAATAAAAGTTAGCATAAAATTAAAAATTTTTTCTTTGTTTAAATAATTAATTATTGTAACCTACATAACATATGTGTGAGAGTGATAGAAATAGTGAGAAAATAAAAGGACGAAAAGGGCAAAGGTCAGGGACTAGTTTTTTTTAGGAAATGTTAACCAATAAATTGTAGAGTAAAGATCATTTTATCGTTCATTTTAGCTAACAATTAAAAGTAGAAATTGATGAAATAATATTGTGAAATATAATAATGAAATGTAAGGTAACATAAAGTAAGGTAAGACTAGCTTTAATATTATTGTGATTTTATATGTTATGTTTTGATTTCCTTTTTCATAATAAAAATATTCTTTTGAAGGAAAAAAATTATTTTTATAAATGTTTTTAGAGAAAAATTCCAAAAAAAAATGTTTAACAAAAAAATATAGTTTTCTAAACTTCAGAAAAAAGCAAAGATTAAAAACTTTTCAAATTAAATTAAAAAATTTTTTAATATTCAGATATTTAAGAAGAAAAGAAATATGAACAAAATGTAAATAAAAAAGCTTACATTAATGTTAATACTTTTCTATTTAAAGAAATTAAAAAAAAAAATTATTTAAGAAAATAAAATTTTGATGATTAAATTTATCATTACGTCATTATCAAATGGAAAAATTTAACAAATGATCACAGATCGAAAAATTGCAAATGTTGCACCAATTAATATCAAATAGTTTGATAATTGTAATTATTAGAAGTTAATTAGAAAATTTTTCACACCCACTATTATGACAATAGAATTGAATAATTTAAATAGAAATAATATAATGATTAAAAGTTATTTTAATTAAACAAATAAATGTTATAATTGGTACGTTGATGACAATAGAAATAAATTTAGTAATTAGAACGATTTTAAATAGTTAATTAAGTAAATAGGTTAATAGGTGCATAAGTACTATTTAACATACAGCGTAAAATGAGCAATTAAAAATTATTTGAACAGGTTTTTTATTAAAATTGAAAATTAGCGTTGAAATGTAAAACTGACGAAGGCAAATTTTCTTGTCATCGACAAAATTCTACCAATATCATATAAAATTTTAATTTGAAGTTTTTAAATGAAAAAAAAAGGTTTTTTTTAAAGATGTCATTTTATCAAATTTTATCACTGATTATCAATTACTTAATCAATTCATAATTATATAAATTATTTCTCACAATTGCCTTTGAATCAAATGTATTTATTGACTTATTTAGAAAAATGAAGTGAAAATACTTCAAAAATAGTATTCAGTAAAATCAATAAATTAGTAAGTAAAAACAATTAGAAAGTTCTAAAAACATAATTATTTAAATTAAACAAGTACATTTACTTTTCTCTTCTTTTTTTAATACTGGAATAATAACATTCGTTGTTTTTTAAATTTATTTTTAAATCTGCAATTAGTTTATTGTTTATCAAATATTTAATTATTTTAAAATGAAAAAAAAAATTCAAATTATTTATTGATAATACTACTTTAGGGTGTTAAACATTCCATGAAAATTTTAAATGATAGATAAGGAATTACAATACATATAAATTATTTTTGTCTTAAATGTAATGAATTTGCCAAAAAATTTTCATATTATTATTTAAACATTTCAATATCAATAAAATAGAAATCAGAATTAATCTCTTAATTAAAAATTGATATGATAATTATGATGGCCAATAAAATTTAAAATGAGAAAACAAAACAAAAAAAGCTATCATAGCATATCATTATTTTTAGTGCTATAAAATATTAATTAAGCTTACACGAAATATTTTTAAAAAGTAAAAAAAAAAAAAACCACTAACATTTTTTTTTCAATTTTTATGATACAAATTTTAATTCCATTGTTTCATTTTTTTTCTTTTAAACAAAAGATTTTTTCTTGAAAAAAAATTTACATTAATAGAAAAAGAAAAAATCCCTTTTAAATATTACATTTTTAATAGAAATTAATCTTTTTATTTTAAATTCATAATTTTATAGCATTAGAAAATATTGAATATTTGTTATATTAAGCAAACTTAAAATTACTCACATATATATTTTCTTCTAACTTTCTTTTTTATTAATTATCACTTCACATCAACTAAATGGAAATTTCGTCTAAAATTACTAAAACAATAAAACTGATACAACAAATTTTCCTTCTCAACATTGATAAATGTTGATTAAAATAATTAAAGACCTCAATTAAAAAAAAAAAACTTTTTTCAACTAATAAAATTCGTTTATAAAAATTTATCAAAACAAAAAAAAAAAATTAATAAATAAAAAGAAAGAGCTATAAATTACAATTTATGGCATCTACTAATTTAAACTTAAATTATTTTATCATTGCAATGAAACAGAAATGACTAAATTGATAAGACATTTTTTAAAATATTGATATTTTGAAACGTGATATCTAATCATATTTGATAATTTTCATTTAAATGCTAATTTTTTATTTTTATTTTTTTTTTTTATAGCAATTAATCGATGATAGTTATGAATTAAAAATAGAAGAAAAAAATTTCTCATTGATATTCTTTTGTAAAATTTTTATTTCAGAAAAAAAATGATAGGAAAATAAAAATAGAAATACAATGAAATGAAATAAAATAAAAGTAAATATGAAAGAAATTTGAAGATTGAAGAAATATCGAGTAAAAATTTTGCAAAAACAAAGAAAAAGAATAGACATAACAATAAAAAATAGACAAGGTCACTTTTTTTTCATTTCATTTATTTATTTATTTTTTAATTTTCTTTTAATTTCTTTACAAATCAGGAAATGTATTAAGAATCAGAAGATTTATACATAAAGGACAATCGATGTAATGCACTGTACCTTTCCGGTTGAATTGTGCAGTAATATCATATATACCTATCGTTTCATTAACACAACTCGACAATATATTGTCTCATTTTAATACAAACCGGAAATGAACATCGATTCACCCGGTTTGTCTTCAACAAAAAGTGATTAATATGTCAGAGTTGCTATTTGAAGAAACTTAAAATTTTTATATGATTTAAATAAAAGTAATGAATATATTATTATTAGACCATTTTGCAAAAAATATTTTTAAATATTTTAATTCTAGTACTAAAAAGATAATTCTGTATGATAATTAGAATACAGGTAAATGAATATAGGTAAATGAAGGTAAAAAAAGGTAAAAGTAAAAAAATTTCACAAATAAGGAATAGAAAGTAAAGCACTTATTTGTCGCCAAATTTATCACTAATATTTGGTTGGAATTTTATAAAGATTAAAATCCTTATCATTTATCACTAATATTTGGTTGGAATTTTATAAAGATTAAAATCCTTATCACATTAAAATATTTCTCAATTTCATGATAACGATTAGAATCCATATCAAATAGTAAGATTTCTCTCAAGTTCATGATAGTGATTAGAAAGAGCCCTTATCACGTATTAAGATATTCAGCAATTTCATGATCATAACGCTAATATCAAATATTTTAATATTTTTTATAAAATTATGAAAATTCCTTAGCACAATCAAATCATGAAATATTTCAAAGTAAATTTTCAATGGGAACGAAAAAAACGAATGTGTTATTTCAAAAAGTGACAAAAAATTTATTCAAATCTTTTGGCACATCTGCAAAAAATGATTAGAAACTAATTTGTTGAAGAAAGTTTCATTTATTTGTTGTTTAACTATCAGAAATTAATAAATCATTTTTATAAGAATGATTTTTGTAAATTCAACTACCAATCAGTCCGTTGTTGACAATTGATTAAATTCATTTAATGTTCTGTTGAAACAATTGTGTCACAAAAAACAAATCATTGATAACATTTATGATAATAATGAAAAGAATTGGAAAAAAAGGGAAAAAAATAAGGAATTGCTTTTATATTGTATTGAGAATTTTATTGAGATTTCTTTTTCTTTTTAAACTTTTTCATTAATCAGAAAAGAAAAACAAGAAATGTCCGTGTAAATAGATATATTGAAAATAATGATTTAATAAATAAATAAATGAAATCAATAGGTAAAATTAATGAGAAATATATTTACCATTCATTGATTGTGATTTTAAAAAAAAAAAAAAAAAAAAACAATTTTTTTTTTGACAATAATTTAAATATGAGGAAAAGATGGATTAAAAGAATTGTTAATTACAACTTTTTCTTCCTCTCAAATATACTATTCTATTAACTGTAAACAATATTTTAAATCTTTAAAATTTGATAAAAGAAATAAAATTTCATGATACACTATTTAAAAAAAAACAAAAACAAAATTTTTTAAAATAAAACGATCGATAAAAAGTGAACGATGCAAATTACAAATTAAAGATCTAAATTAATTGTATGCGAAATAAAGTTATGTTAAAATAAAAAGTTTTCAAAGTTTGAGAGAGGGAGAGAAAGAGAGAGAAGGAGAAGGAGGATAGAAGTAATATATATATATATATATATATGGAAATAAAAAATTTTTGAAAATAAGGTTAAGATTAGATTTACTTATGATATTTAATAATATTTCATACATTTCTTAAACTAAAATTTTTAAATATTTCCCCTTTTTTTTCAGTAAATAATTAATAAATAATTATTTCTTATGTTATTTCTTTGTTTCGTTCTTTATTTCTTTTCACATATCTGTAAAACACAAATGAAAATCTCATTGTATTATTTTTGTATTTGTTTATTTCTAGGAAATGATAACATAAAATAACATAAACGAGTACAAATTATGCTGGAAACGAAAAATGTGACAGATAAATTTATAAAGAAAATAATGTTGTATATTTTAAAATTAAAATTTTAAGATATCTTTGGCATTAAAATATTTATAAACAATTATTTCTATTTTTTTGAAATAACAGAATAATTCTTCATGAATGAGTTTAGAAAAAAATCATTGGCTATTATTCCTACAACGTAAAAATTCCCGAAAGACATGAAAATGAGGCATGCATCAGCGAAGTTTTGAATTATGATAAATTTTTCGCTTCTTGATAAGATTAAAATGAAAAGAAAAATGAATTGTATATCGTTGTGTTCCGACGAATTAATTCATCTTAATGAAATTTTGTCACTTTTTATTTCTTTTTCTTCTTTTCATTTTTTTTTCCTATATACATTTATATGAATTTGATAGAGAAGTTTACACTCATTTAAAAATTAAAAAAAAAAAAAATGAAAGAAAAGAAGGGAGGAAATGTAAACAATGAAAAGAAATAACATTAAAAGGATAAAATTCCAAAAGAAAAAGAAATTAAAAAAAGAATATTTTCAGTCATTTGAAATCCTCGAAATATTTCTTTAACTTTTCAGCAGTAAGAAAATAAAAAATAAATAAGGAATAAAAAGTAAAAAACACACAAATTTATTAAAAAATTTTTGGTTTTTTTTCTTTTTTAACAAATTAATGTCCCAAATTTTCCACTTCAATAAATCTACTGCTATATATTGAGATACATTTGTTGGCCATTGAGATTGATAATAAATTTAATATGAAATTTGTTCATTAAAGTCTGAAAAACAAAAAACTTTTCCTCCACTCTTTTAATGATAAACTTAAACAACCAAAATAGATCGAGTAAAAATGAAATTTTAGGAAAAGTTTTGATTTATATAAATGATTAATTTACCTTATAAATCGCTTCATTCTTAATGATAGGCCAAGAAAACATTGCATTTTCATTTCTCTCCCTTTTTCTTTATCCCCCTCCCATTTTTTTCTTTCCCATAAAACACTAATTATTTGTTTGATGAAAATGATAAAAATGATTAATAGTTGAAGTATTGCTACTTTATTACGAATTCGGATCGATTTACTAGAAATTATCAAATGAAATATTCCAGAAAAAAAAGGAAAAAGTTACGATGACCCAATGAAACAATAGATGAAAAATTTTTCCTCTTCGTTTTTCTTCTAAATAAAAACTGCTGAATCATTTCTTTTTTTCAAAATAAGTTTAATATATAAAAGCAAAATTTATGTATCTCTCAGGATCACTATTCCCTTCCGACCCTATTTTTTCTTTTCCCTTTTTTTCTTTTTTAGCGAAAAGAATTACAAAACAAGTTTTCAAAAGAAAAGGTCAGTAACCTCAAAAAAAAAAAAAATAAATAAATAAATAAAATTAAATTAAATAAAAAAAGAAATAAAAGTAAAAAAAATAAATAAAAATTTATTCTTTCAGTTTTGATAGTACTTTTTCACAAAATCAACACCATTATACCGGTAAAAATTTTCGGCAAAAACTTTCATTCAAAGGATATACAATTCAACTTTTTTCACAATCAGTAATTATTCAAGTTTTTTTTCTTTTCATTTCCTAGCTTTCATTAAATGCCGAAACTATTTCCTATTGTTCATCACAAATAACTGGTAAAGTTGAAAAAATAACAACAAAAAAAAAGAAAAGCCTGAGCGGAAGTTATGAATAAAAGGAGTAACTAAATTAATATGAGAAAACAGAAATAAAAAATACAAAAATAGTCATGAAAATTTCAAGAATCAATAAGATTAATATTTATTTTTATATGTTATGCTGAAAGAAAGAAAAAAACATGCATTCACAAATGTGAATAATAAATAATTTTTACAATTTCGAATTAATGGAGGAAAAAAACAATTAGATATTTAAAAACAGCGAATGAAGCAGGATTTTGATTAACCCATATTTCCACACAACAACTATAATTTAGTTAAGGAGCAAAATGAAAAACGATATCAAAACAATGTGAATTAACAAGTGCATCAAAGGCATCACGCACAAAAATGCTTCATAATTTCAATACTGACATAATATAGTTGCAGGAAGGTATCAGTTTTTAATCATTATTATTTACCATAGTATTATGTATTACTTTAATATGCAGCTTTTAAGAAATTGAAAGTGGAGAAATTATGTTTAAAAACGTACTGTCTCTATAAATGATGAAATTAACTAAAGTCAATTTAACAGTAAATCTCAATATTGAAAGTGTCCCTCTCGAGCATAACTTGAGATATTGTGTTATAATGAATAGTAATATTATATATAATAACCATGACATGGCGAAGCTTATAAGATCAGCATTTTAGCTAAATCAATCGTTATAACGATATATACAGAAGAGCTGCTTCCAAGATATGAAAGAACTTAGAAAAATAAGATCTGTAAATAAATGCTCATCTCAAAGAAATGAAATTTATGAATTTGGAAATTAAATTTCAAGAGATTGATGAGCGAAAGAAGTTGACGTGTCGTTATGTGTTTGAACAGCTGATACGTCTTCCTGGCATGGTAAACTGTCGACACAATCGAGTAATTCTAACTTAGCAACAATTCTGAAATCAATTCTAAAATCAAAATATTGCAAATAAAAGAGAAAAAAATTTGGTTGAGGAATGTTTAAAGCTGCTTTTGAATCTTTCATTAAACCATACTCCAAATATAATCATATACCCAGTTTTTGGAAAAAGCTCAATCCGTTACATGGACCGAATGAGAAAAATGTTTCTTTTTATTTCATTAATATACAGCTGTTGTAACCTAAGCCACAATGAAAAGTGAAAAACAAATTCTGCAACAAAAAAGGAAAGAAAAGACAAACTCAATTTTCATCTAAAATTAATTAAAGCTCTTCCCACAAGACTGATGGAAAATTTCCAGATCATTTACTAAAAACTATTGACATAAAAGTGATATCAGAAAAGAAAACTAGTTACCTTTTTTTATCCTCTTGAGTTTGCTTGTAGATTTGAATCTTGGTTTTCAAAATGCATTCCATAATATTCTCCTCTACCACAGTGAATATTTTATCGAAATCTGCAACTTCAACATTTTTAAATTTATGATAGTGTTCCACAAATTTGAATATAAACCGAATAACCTTTGCCTTCTTGTTTCAATTCATCGAGCTCATACTGAGCAGCTTCGATTGCTGTGATGTACTCCGTTATTTGCTTGTCGCAATAATCGAAATCCTTCTTGGCCTTCCAGATCTGTTCACGCAATCGCGACACTTCTTTCTCGGAATCTAAAAACATCGAAAAACAACAGGTAAGGTTCAGGATTTAAGTAATTAATTGATTACTTATTCAACTTGAGAATCTGAACGAACGAATTATCAAATTTACACACTCCGCAACGCACTGTGCTGTTTCTGCTTCACTTTTACAAACTTCTTCACTTCCTGCTCGTTAATAAGATATTGACGCCAATTTTCAGCCTAAACAAAGGGGAAATAAATTTCAGAAAACCAAAAGACAAAAAAGTGCAATCACTGCGAAAAGAAAAGCTCAAATTTACTCAAAATAATTTGGGATTTTTTTATCATTGTCGATAATTATCCATGCAGAGAGAGGTGAAAGTCCACAAACACGCTGTCCCCGTAATGACGCATTGGTGAATTAATAAAACAGAATAAAATGTAAGTACGATAGTTACATGTCTATTAATTAAAAGGAATAACAAAACCCATTTCAACATTAAATACTTTAAAATGCTATCATTTTGTAGCATTTCAGTGCATAATTTTTATACTTACCTTAGAAGGTAACTATAAAGATATGACACGTGTAGCTAGAACTACAAATGAGTAATTTGTGAAATGAGAAATATCACGCTTAAATAATAGGTGGTCTATTCAAGTATAAAACAATGTACACTATTTTAACAAATTTCTACGGTTTACGCAAATGTAAACAATAAATTTTGATATACGTTAAAATGTACCTCATTGTTCTCAGTTTTAATATCCGTTTCAAATTGTATGATACAATTCAACAGCTCCATTAATTCATTTACTTCACTAGCCATAGTGTAATTCCTTCAAAGTATATAATAAGGTAAAATATATTCTTATCCACTTCACACTTAATTTCTCATAAACTAATTAACATTAAATAGTATTAAATAGTAATGAAAATTACCTTTAATTAGCTCATTCAATCTCAAAGAAAAATTAATTTCATTATAATTATCATTTCTCCCATAAGTAATGTTAAAATTAATGTTAGAAATAAAAATAATAGCAACAATTTATTCTAACGCATTCAGCAACAGAAAAAAAAGCAAAAAGGAAAGGAAGCAATTTCATATTTAAAATTACAGCGCCATAATTTACATTCCCTCGAATGATCTTACAACGAAAAACCACGGAAAATTGTTTATTCGAAGATAAGCGAAAATGATTGATTTGTTGAGAAGTGGAATATTATATTATTCTTCTAAGATTTACAGTAATTTGGTGAAATGAAATTTTCCGATTGAACTAATTTTAGTATAAAATTTAAAACACAATTATGGCACTCTTCTTCTCTTCCTCTCTACACACTGTGTGTAAGACACACACACATCTATTGATTAGTTTCAGCGCTTTGAGCGACTGATTTCATTTCGAAGTGTGCACAGTAGGGCTGTATTGCAGGTGCTACGTATGTGTGTGTCTATCTGCTATGTATGTATGTGTGTGTGTGTGTGTCTATGTGCTGTGTATGTATGTGTGTGTGAAGTGTATGTTTGTATATATGTGCGTGTGTGCGTGTATATGTAGTACGTACATAACGTATGCGTATATTATGTTTATATGTGTGTGTGTGTGTGTGTGTACGTGTACGTATGTATGTATGTATTGGGTATGGAATGATAAAGACATACATAGTATTTGCTCAAATTGATCATCTCATTTCATCTTTGTAATATGTGCATAAAAGAGGAAAAAAGAAAACTTTCTGATCTTTTCCTCTTAATTGTGAGATTTTTCAGGATAATTTATCTGTAAATATAATAATTATTCACTCAATTATATACATGCATGCTAAAAAAACAAGAATTTTCACATTTGTTCATTTAATTTGCATATTTGTTTTTTCTTTATTTCTTTGTTGCATGTTTATCATAAATTTCTGAAAAGAATGCATACATATGTATATATGTGATCATTGAACTATATTTTATTTATGATTATGCTTTTATAACAAACTTATATCATTTTGTCATCATATAACGATCGAATACTGTGTTATACAATTTCACGGTTTTTTTTTTTTCTTTCAGAGAATTTTCTATTAATAAAAAAGGAGACAGAAATTAGGAATTTATAAAATTCATAAATAATTTGAAGAAAAAACAAGTCTTTCCCCTTTCCGGTTATGTGTTCATAATAGATTGGTTTAATAAGTGTGGGAAGTAAAATGTTGCATAAAGGATATATGTTGCATAAAGTTATACGTGGCGATACGATGATGCATCGATGTGAGACCATGTGTTGTCGTTCGTGCACAAATTGCATGTTTTTTATTTCAAGTATTTGTGATAAAACTTTAATCTGTGTTGTTTTAGCACTTTATAGAGATATACAGGTATTAACTGTACAACAATTTTGGAAGAGATTTTAACGCAATATTTTTGAATTCGACAGAAATGCCTCGTGGTAGACCTCGAGGTCGTGGTCGAAGTTCAGCCGGAAAAACAGTAGCTAAATCATCACCATCATGCTATGGTCGTAATCGAGGACGTGCAAAACTCACTGGTATTTCGATGAAATCAAAATCAACGAAAACTTCAAAATCCAGAGAGTAATTTAATTCTGTCTAGTTCGAGTAAATGCAAAATCTTTCACATATATCGAATAGTGTTAGTTGCTTATTTCAATGCAACAGCTATATGGCTGCAATATTACCAGAGGCTTTTTAGGGCGATTATTTTTTCCTTTTTTTACTATTTGTCTACTAAAAGTAATTGAAATAGTTTCATTACTTTACGCCATGGCTTATTTTCATACTTTTTTTCGTATCATTTCTGAAGTTTTTATTCAAATTGAATGGCCGAATTCGAGGTAAAATTGTTTGGAAAAAATTTCAAATATTTAAATTCCAAAAGTGAATATTACTTTTTTATATATCAGCTAATGGGTAGCTTTTCAAAAAGCGCCTTTTTGAACGCCTACTGTATCTTCAATGAGAGTTTGTCCAATCCACATATCAATCAATAAATTAGATGATGCGGCTTCATAGAAAGACTATTTGAATATCTACAGTATATTCAGTGATTATTCGTCGATTATATTCAAATAAAGCTGAGAACTCGATCATTATGTTTCAGAAATCGACAAGCTTGGGATGAAAGTGATGAAGAATATGATAGGCCTGACTACTACACCGACTCATCAGATGGTTTCGATAGTGATACTTCCACTGCCCAAAGAAGTTCGCTGTTTTGTATTAGAATTTCAATTTTTACATCCATGCAGAAAATAGAAACGCTAACCTTGTAAAAGACTTGTTGCCATCTTAACTAGTTCAGCTTTATAATAATTTGTTCAGATTCACCCGAATATTCATTCTTTGAAATTTATTTTGTAAACAAATTAATGATAGATTCAGCAGCAATGGATTTCGAAGACGAAGCTGAAGATGAAGAGATAGAGGAGACATCATCCGTGGCGAGTCGGGTTCCAACACCTGGTGCATCGCTTTATGAGACAGATGAATCTGTCGGTAGGTTTCCCTGCAAATTGGTAGATCCATGCTTTTGTTTCAATTTTCATTTCGTCAATATTTGTTGTTCCATAAAATAAATTTATAGAATGCCCATGGCTTGAAATTCCTGCAGAACAATTACCAATATTGAAATTACCAAAAGGAAGCAAAGATTTATTGATCGATGAGAAATATTTGTTTGATGCTCTTGAGGTACTGAATCATTAAGAAAATGAGCTGTTATAAAGGTTGGAATAGCATTGGTATAATTTATAATTCATTGTCACTGATTAAACGATATTTTTATAAGCTAATAAGCAATCCTACGTGTTCAGATCAGAAATCATTGAGGCACGCTTTTCACCATGGCAGATCAGGTGATGTATTGGCCTTAATATTGGTAAAAATTCGCATATTTCCTCACTATCTTAAGTAAACCTTGCAGGTTTATGAAACTTGTCGGTGGTACTATCAAGCAATTCGACTTTCTCCATTTCTTTTCGAAGATTTTTGCGCTGCTTTAAGTACTGAGGGTCAAACAAATCTCTTGGCTGAAATACATATCGCTCTGTTGAAGTTGTCGCTAAAGGACGATGATGATGAGCAGATCATCTTATCAGTTCAGGACACAAACAATAGTTTTAACATCATGCTTCAGCTGCTTGAACCAATGACATATGCCGAGGTAACTACAAGAAAAAATGTAAGGAGGGCAGTAAACTGAGAATTAGAGGATACTCTAGGATGAAAAAAGAAGGAGCTAGAAAGTTGAAAGAAGGAATTTCTTATCTGAAATACATATTGTATTGTTAAAAAAAGTTTTTATGTCTATTTATTTTTTTCATTAATAAGTTTCAAAACATCCTTTTTTTTTTTTTTTTTGTTATTAACAGATCTCAAGGATTGGATTCAAAAAACTGTACTATAGTTCTTTGCTTCAGGTACTTCGCCAATATTTGGAAAGCGATCCGCAGCGTTTTCCTGCTGAAGTTCTTGAAGCAGCAAGTGGAAATTATCCGTTTGTTGGTGTGAAACAACGACTTACAGTTCTTTCATGGCTTTGCGATCGTTTCTTTCAAACTAATGAATACCGGAATATTGTTAGAAATGAGGGAAAACTGACGGTAGATGAACACTGTCGTGAATGTGGAAAACCAGGCGATGTCCTGCTATGTGACGGTTGCGAAGCATGCTATCATCTGTCATGCACAAATTTAGCCGATGTACCAGATGGAAAGTGGTTGTGTCAAGTGTGTGAATTACATAAGGTATCATTGGTTTCAGTACCTTTAACTTGTATGATAAAACAGGACAGCATATGGAACTGATGTAGCCATGTGAGTCACAGTTGCAGAAAAGACATGCAATGTTCATTTACTAGTTATCCTTCATTTTATTTTCACCGTACTCTTACTTTATCGAAATTATCATTTTAGGTACGCGGTGTAACAGACTGTCAAGTCCCAGGTTACCGGTCGCCGCGTATGCCAATGCGTTTCAAACCATTGGGTCGCGATCGTCATGGCCGTCTTTACTGGTTTATGGTGAGGCGTATATTTGTGCAGAACGATATTGACGGTTCTGTGCATTACTACAGCACTCTTCCTCAGCTCTATTTTTTGTTGAATATGCTTTCTGTGAACGAATACGAAAAACATTTGGCAGCCGTTTTTATGGACCTTCTTCCTCTCATTGAAGAACATATGCGGATGACATTGCAGTTAACTGGTGACTATGGACGAAGCGCAAGAGCTAGAAATAAAACTGATTTGTACTTGCATGCTGATAACGGTTAGCTTGGATTAAAATTATTTTTTTTTAAAAAAAAGTGAAAACAAAGTCAAACGTTTTTGTTAGGTTCATGGGCTGAAAATTTTAGATTTTCTAGTTGACTCTGAAGCTTGTCACGATTGAGTGTTTTTGGAAGACTCACAAAGATTCCAGCTACAAGTAATCTTTTTTCAGTTGTTAGAATGGGTGATATTTTGGCAAAGCCGTTGTTTAGTCAATTACGAGAAAGTGATGATGAAAGAATAGTGGTTGCAATTGGTTACACGAAGCATGTTGAAGTGAGCAAGTATCTGCTACTCTGCAAAGTAGAAGAATTGTTGGGATTTACGGGAAACTGTTTAAAGGATACATTCTGGACAGCTGGCATGCAAAGTAAGTGTATGTCATTCTGCTCTGATTTTCAGTTGCGAAATTAAAACCAGTAACCATACAAAATCTGTCTTATTTCCAGCTCACGAAGTGATTACAAAAAAAGAAGTAATCGAAACGAGTTTCCATACAGCTTTAGTTAATGGCGATATTGACGAAGTCCCTTCTGTGGAGCTT